TACACAGTCTGTGTGTGTCTATGTGTGTGTGTGTGTGTGTGTGTGTGTGTGTGTGTGTGTGTTGTGTGTGTGTGTATGTTCATGTGTGTGTGCGTGGGCAGGGTCTGTGAGTGTCTTTTTTTTTCGTTTTTATGTTTTTCGTTTTTTTTAACATATACGAACTTTGAAAAAATACAAAAAAAAATATGGGGTCGTAGATCTCCAAAATATCTACAAGACGAGGGTCACCAGGCCGCACGTACGGAGGTCCCCGGGCAGACCTCCGTACGTACGGGCGTTCAGGGTCCCGTACGGGGTCCGATAATGGCGTTCGGCCCCCGCCAAAAATTATTTCGGGGCGTAAAAATATTACTTTTTTTCTGAATTGTTTTTTGTGAGTTCTCTATGACGTGAGGTACGTTCCGATAATTTTCAAGTCATTTGGCTCAGACAAATAGGAATTAAAAATCGCCAAAGATGGCGGTGTCAAAACGTGCTCGCCCACTTTTTTTTTCACTTTTTACTTCTTGTTTTCACTTGAGTTCGGGGTCTAAACAATTTTATTATTTTTTGAAACGTTTTAAGTGGGTTTTGCATTATGTGAAGTACACATCTCTAAATTTTCAGGGCATTTAGCTATGCCAAAAAAAAAAGAAAAATCGCCAAATATGGCTGTGTCGAAAACATGCTCGTGCACTCACTACATTTAATTCTTTTTTTATTTATTTTTATTTTTATTATTAGTATTTGTTTTTAGTATTTTATTTTTATTTCAAATTTGGTGAGGAATTTGGATGTAATGTTTAGGAAAATCTTGTTTAATTTATTTTTCTTCATAACATATCCTTTTTTCAGATTTTTTTGATTTTTTTTTTTTTTTTTTTTTTTTGGGTCCGCGTTCGGCACGAACGGCCGAACGCATCCACAAGGGGTCCCATTCGTTCGGCACGAACGGCCCGTCCCGAACGCCGGTTACCCTGTACAAGACTCTATTTTTTATTTTATTTTTTGTTAATTTTTTGCCTGCAAGAAAATCTCTGTGTAAGAAAGAAAAACCCACCCATTTCATACAGAAAAACTTTAAAAAATAAAATAAAAAATACAAGGTTGTAGATCTCAAAAAGACCTACAACCCTGTATTTTTGGTTTTCTTTTTGCTTATTTTTTTCCAGGGAAAAAATACTCCCGCACCCGCTCAAACCCGGCTCAAGCGCTTTTGAGCGCGGGATTGAGCGGAGCTCAAAAATTTGAGCTCCGATCCCGCGCTCAATCAGCGCGTGGTTTCACAGACTCTGACAGTTGTGTTTGGTTGTCTGGCATCAAACTCGTTTCCTCCTTTGGGCAATGAATGCATTTGGCCATCCACGTTGTCCCTGTCCATTTTACAAATGGTGACCTCCTGTCCCCTCACCACCCGGAGTATCCCTTTTTAACGGAGACATTCACTCTTACTGTTCCAGAGATGTTTCGTTTCTCCGAGTTACGTTATAGAAAATAAGGACGAAAGCTGTTTCTAGTGTTTTCTTTTTTTAGTGTTTTTATTTCTTGTTCCGAATTTATTAATGTCGAAATGGCGTCACCGTTAAGTTTTCTAAACTCAACAAAGGTAGGTGGGAAAGCTCAGAATTATTTTTTTTTTCTTTTTTTTTTTTCTTTTTTTTTTTTTCATGCCCGGGTGCCCAGTTGGGCATAAGAATCTTCGTAGCTGCAAAACACTTGCCGGCCATTTTTACACAGCCGCCGTTACCGGGGGCTAGGTCCCACTTGCACGAATAAAGAGATACTCACCGTAGATAGCAAAGATCAACGGCCAAAATCTCCTAGTTTGCGCAAGTGGGACCTTGCCCCGGCTTAGCCAGGGTGGAAAAATGACACCAAAAGTGATTTAATGACCTGCCGCACTCTTTCGCCCGTTTGGGGGGAAATGGACCTGCCGCACTCTTTCCCCCGTTTGGGGGGAAGTGGACCTGCCGCACTCTTTCCCCCGTTTGGGGGGAAATGCATACAAAGGTTTCGTCGCGGGGGGTAGGTTTTATGACTTTTCCCAAAGAATAACTCTCTTTGAGTCTGCTGGGCCCGTCTTTCCCCGAATAGAACATACGGTCATTAGAGCTGTATTTGGCGCAACATTCAGTCTAGATGGGCCGACAACGACCGTGCGCTCTATTCGGGGATGTCGGAAGTCCTATGACTATACTTCCAAGGCCGTCGCCATTTGCCTTCTGGTATTATTAAAAAAAAAAACGGAAAAGAAGAGCAACTTGTTGACGCACACAGCCCGCGAAGACTCTGGATGTCGTCCAGCCACGTGGCAAGTTTCAGTGAACTCCTACGGAAGCACGGTAATTAGTGGAGGGAGAGCCTGGATTCGACAGGGCGGTCCACGTATCTGACCCCAGTTCGCAATCAGGTTCATCGCACAAAAAAAAATTCCTATCTGATGGTATTATTCCTTGGTGTAATAACAATTGCAAGAATGAAATTCAATGCAAGTGCCGTTCGATGTCGTCGTCATGTATCTGAGATCTCCGATGATGGCCGTTAGATGGCGTTGATGCTGATGTCCATTGCAGGTACAGGAAGAACTCTCGTTTCTGCCACGCACCACGAACCCTACCATCTAACAACAGAGGCTAACGGCGCGGACCCCACCGTCTAACAGAGGCTAACGGAGGCTTATGGCGGAGGCTGACGGAGTGGCCGCATTTCAACCAACTGTAGTTCCTAAAGTCGTGCCCGTTAACGAGCCACGTTGTTAGCAAACGTACGTTAATGAGCCACGCTTTTAGCAAACGTACCGGCCACTACAGGAGCGCCCAAATTCATCCAACAAGAGTCGAAGCGTTTCTACTCTATTTTTCCTTCACGGCCGATAGCTTGGCCAAGTACTGGTGGTTTTTAACTGCGGCCACCAGAGGGTGAAGGACGACAACCAAGCTCCCAGGGGTGCACCCAACCGGCTGAGGAGAGAACCGGCAGTCTGCATATTTCTTCCATCATGATGGCGATGGCGGCGTCCCGACGTGCCCTTCGGGGCTGGACAGCTGTCATCCTCCTTGCGGGCGTGATATTCCTAGTTGCTGCCTCGAAGGCAACTGCCCGGATCATCAAGAATGAGCAGCCGGACACATACAAATGGCCATGTGGCAATCGCCGGCGGCCGGTGTGCTGATGGTTTGTGCTGGGAGACGGTGGGAATGTGCATAAAACCTATGCGGTGTCCTAGGTACCTTTGCTTATAGCCGTACATTTTATTGAGGAAAAAACGGGTGGTACTCTTATTCAGGCATAACGATCTCATGCTGACGACGTTACGCGTTTCAGAAAGGTGTTCGCGTCGTGAAAGTATAGGTAGTGTGAGGTGGTGAAATTGAGAGAAGAATATAGCTTTGAAAAAAAAAGAAAAAAGTGGGGTGTTGTTGCAATCGAAAGGTAATTCTCTCATGATGAAAATTTGTTGTGGAGGTTGGTACGTCTGTCTGATCCCGGAAAGATTGACAAACGTAAGGGGTATTTATGCAATTTTACATCCAACAAATCTGTGCACCGTTGATGATCTCATCCAGTCAAAAGCGGATCGTCGCCAGCAGTGTCCAACAAATCTGCACTATAGTCCATAGGCACTGCTGAGAGTCGACGTTCAGATTTAATGATGTACCTTTCTTTTCTTTTTTTTATTTATTTTTAAAGGGCGATGGCCTTGAGGTATTTGGACTACTCAGCCTAGGTAAATTCAATATTGTGTCTAATCTGACATCGAGTGCCCTTTTCAGCCCAGGGTGGCCTTGATTGCCTTCACGGCCAGGGGACAGCCGGTAGCAGAGGGACAGAGCATCATCTGAGTGGCTACTGTAGTCGCTGTGCCTCCCCGATTACCCCTCCCCCTATGAACATCAGCAGAGACAGCTTCTTAATGCCAATTGGGGGAACCAACGTGTTATCTCTAGGTGGAGGGCGCCAAGCATGCCCAGGAAGGTACATGAGGCCAATGGGGATTGAACCCAAGACCTCCTGAATGCCACTTGGGTGCCTTACCAACTGAGCTAGGACGCTGGATATGTACCTTTCTTTTCCAACAAGCCTTCATGTTTTTTCTTTGAGGTAACTTCGGCGCAGCTAGGGTTACAGTTTGTAATTGCATTCGAAACTGCGTTTTAGCAGTTTCGCCAGGGCCCGAGTTTCAAAGCATTTTTGCATTTGAAACTCGGTCGGCCGTATGCAGTTCAGTCCGGGCCCTCGTCTATCCACGAACAGCAGATAAAAAAAAAAAAAAAAAAACATCCCTTATGCTGTGATTGCGGTCCTATACAGGATGCTACAATACACTTCTAGAGCTCAATGAAGCGTGGAATCCGCCCTGCCTGGCTGGCAGTGCGCTACAGGGACCTCACAACAAGAAACAAAAAAGGAAAACGACCTGTTTCATGTTCCTCACTTCCTGGGCAGATACATTCCTCAAAGCACTGGTGACCTGAGGGCCTTCGCGACGTAGGTGGATTCTTTTTTTTTTTTTTTTTTTTTTAAAGGCTAATTCTTTAAGCCCAACCAATTCAATTACCTGTCAAATCTGGACAGGACGGCCTTTTAGGCCTTTTTTTTATTGTCATTATAGTATTACGGGGAACCCCGTAGCAGCCACATCTGTGCTCAAGCCTCCAACGAGGGAACATGCGGGAGCTGCACCCACCAGCAGGTGCGATACCCACTACAGCAGGTGGGCGAAGGAATGTGTTAATCGGAATCTCTGTTGTCCTATTTCTGGTCGTCGGAAGTGCATGCATCCGCATCGGCCGCCGTTACTGCGGATTGAAACCCCCGCCAGCAGTCGAATCGGTCGAGCCGAACCCACCCCAGGCGAGCCACGATCCGGCCAATCAGCAACGACCCGTACCATCTCCGCCGACCCCTCTCGACACCTGGGGACTTAATTTGCCGGCGTTGTCGCGCGTGAAGAGCTTTCCCCTGAAAGACCTGACGGATTGCACTCACGGCTTCAGCAATGTTTGTCGGGTCGGGGCGGAGGGAGCGTTCGGGAAAGTGTACAGGGGCTCACTCAACGGGGCGGAAGTGGCAATCAAGGTCATGATGGGCGAGCTGACGGACGCCAAGCGGAAGCAATTCATTGCGGAAGTGAACACTCTCAGCGCACTGAATCATGCCAACCTTATTTCCCTCGTCGGATACTGTGTGGAGGGAGGGCATTGCGTGTTGGTGTACCCATTCTTTGGTGGGGGCAGCTTGCACGACAGGTTGTTCCCCAAGCCAAGCTCCGAGCCCCGTGCAGTCCCCCCCCGCAAGGACCCTCCGCGTGCCTTTCGGCCTCTAACCCTTCAGGAACGCATGAGCATCATCTTCCAGGTTGCCAAGGGCCTCTGCTACCTCCACGACGCGGCCAGACCGCCCATCATCCATAGGGACATCAAGAGCAACAACATTCTTCTTGGTACCGGTTTTGGGGAGAGGCTCCACACGGTCGTGGCCGATTTCGGTCTGGCGGCTATAGGAGAGAGAGTGCTGGGGACCGCACGCGAGCATATTGTCCTGACCTCTCACATCGCCGGAACCTTTGGGTACATGTCCCCAGAGTACATGCTGAAAGGTGAGCTGTCGGACAAGAACGACGTGTACTCCTTTGGGGTCCTCGTTCTGGAGGTGCTCTCGGGTAAAAACATCCTTGCACCAGCAGCTGCTGGGGTCGGGTGGCAGACGATCGTGGAATGGGTAAGGACTTTCCTTCAAGATGGGGATGATAATGGGTCCGTCGTCCCAAAGGAGGGTGTCGAGCTTCCCTACGCAATTCTTGATCCCTGTTTGAGCGAGCAAGCGATGGAGCCTCCCATAGAGCAGATGGTGATGGGCGCTATCAGATTGGCCTGGCAATGTGTGCAGAACGAGTACAGATGTAGGCCAGCCCTGAGGGACGTCGTTCAGTGCATTCACAAGCTGCTCATTGAGGCAGGCTGGCACCGCTTGACGGCGATGACAGATGTGTCGAAGCTTGTAGACTTGTCCGAACTTCCCGAAGGTGACGATCATGGTAAGTTCCCGTGAGTCACGAACCTGGTCTGCATGTACGGAAAAGGTATCATGGTGACTTGTCCGAACTTCCTTTTCAGTTAGAGCCTTCACTGCCTAAACGGAAAAAGGACGATTGCATCTTTTCGCAGAGAAAGGGAAGATGCATCCGTTACTATAAATAGCAACGGATCCATCTTACCAACGTTCTGTGGAAGATGCACTCCTACTTTTTTCTCAGTGGTTGTACTGAGGCCCATAATCATTTCTTTGGAACTTGCTGCTTTTTTTTCCCCTTTTAACCAAATCGCTATTAGTTGCAAATGGAAGATTTTTTGCTGTGTTTTCAGTGACTTTCTTTGTTTGTTGAGATGATTATGTCTTGCTGTACTAGTCTCCCATTCATGATCTCGGAGAGTTATGCATCGCTGCACTGACTCGCCGGATAGACGAGAAGGAAACCTCGAAGAGCTGTCAGAAAACCTTCTCCAAATGGACTCTCCACGGGAGGAGAGTTCAGTGTTCACAGCCTGCCACAGCCCTTTTCCGAGAGTCCTCCTTAGGAGTGCGCTCTCCTACTCGGCCGTCCAACTGCAGATGACGCCTTGTCTTTCTAGTGCTGTGTGTCTTGCAGTGCCTTCACGAAATGGAGATTGTGACGTTAGAAAGTAAGTGCACCGATGGCCGAAATGCGCAATCTGGGACTCAGAGACTCTCTCCGTGTACTCCCCGGTTTCGCGGAGAGTGGAGAGTACTGCAGCGGGACCCATTGCAACCGATCGAACAAGCTTCTACTAATAAGATGGTGAGGGGGTCGGTTGAGTCTCACCCAGCTGTCAATCTCTAACTTGAAGCGTTTGGTGGTAGCGGGCATGTTCCTTGCACCTTAGAAAAGATTGTGATGTTTTGAATGTCATCGAGTTTGAAATGCCGTATTGCAAGGATACCTACCTCGCACACAATCAACGGGATGCATGTTGCTTTTGGTGGTCAGGGACTCCGGGACTCCGGGACTTGGGACCCGCGCTTCTTTTTTGAGTTGGAAAAAAAAAATCATCAAAATTTATAATTAAAAGAAAAAAAGAAAAGTAATAATTTAATCAAATCATAGACGTACACGTGTAAGGGCACTTACACCTGCATAAATGGTAAATTATCTGCGACGTGTAAGCCTTCTGCGGAAGTTCTGCCACGTAAGACTCGTAAGTCTCCATGTTTTTTTTTTTTTTAATAATGATTTTATAAAATTTTCCCGGTTATGTCTTTGCGAGGATGTAAAGTATCTGCGAAGTATCTTTTAGTTAGCCCTTCTCCTCCCAATACTCCTTTTCCTTCACATTTGTTTGTTGCTTTTCGTTTTTTTTCCCCCTCCTCTACGTGTTTTTTTGGTTTAGAAGTACTATTTCTCTATTTATGCGTGTCATCCCTAAACGTGCAGGGGCTCTGGCAACCTATCTTCTCAATGGGCCTCGCCACACCAGTGTCTAAGCCGCTTAATTTTTGACGGACGGCTGTCAGGCGTTCTTCGACATTGGTGTCTCCTACAAAAGAACTGGCCTTCGCTACACAGGTCATGTCGAAGGGGCTCCCTGCACTACTCTAGATTCGAGCTTTATCTTGAGTGCGGCATGGCTGCACTTAAGAGATGGGCGCTCCAGAACCTGTTCTAGAGCTGCCAGGACTCTAGAAAAGTAATAGGGCCGTCATCAGCGCCGTCATCGCACCACTTACTCAATAAGTTCGCTCTAGGTATGTCCTTCTCACTCTAGATTGATCTAGAGCACCAGCTTCCAAAGGCCGTTTTTTTTAGGGAGGTCTGGAGGACCCTTGAAACTCCTTGGTTTTCCTTGAGTAGGCCTTGAGTCTGGACGGACAACCTAGGGTGGCGCTGTCCCGTCGGGAAATGGCTGAACTCAGGGCATATTCACACTGGGACGTATAATCCCAAATTCGACAGGTCACATAGATTTGCCAAAGTCCTAAACGTACCATTCGTGTGCCCATTTGTCAGAGGCCTGTGTAGCAGCGGGGCAAGGGAATTTGCAGTCACCTCTGGACGTGCCCGCAAATGCCTTATTTATTTTTCACTTTCTTGGAGAATTGGTGAAATTTCGTTCATGAATTGTCTTGCACAATTGTGGATGGCGTGTGTGACCAGCAAAGTACCGAATCATCATTGCTCCAAATGGCCTTGGCCTTGTCCCATCTGAAAAGACAACCTGAACCATGCCCAATTCCTCAAATAGGCCCTTCCCAAATCCGCATATTTTGCGGATTCCGGGTCCCACTGTGAGTATGCCCTCAGAAAGCGACGGAGCAATTCCAGCTATCTGTAGATTTTAGGACTTTTAGTGAATCTGACAGCTCTAGAGTGACTCTAGAAATTTTCACGACTCTAGAGTAGTACAGTGAGCCCCGAAGACGCGATGTCGAGGCCATGGAACGGAGGGATATATTATAGGATGCTGACATCAGTCGAGTAGGGCATAACTTTCAACACCTGAGAAAAGAGGTGTCAACTTCGGCCTGCAGGTCTGGGCGGTTTCAGACTCTTGTCCAAGCCTCTTTTCTGACAATTATAGAACAAGTTTCGACATCCTCCCCCTCTACATTCTGTGTAGCGACAAGACTCGTGTTTCTACATTGGTGTGGTGAGGCCCTATGTGGTTCCATTTTGTATTTCTTGGATGTTCCAGTTGTAACGAATGCTTGGCCCATTGTCAGAAGCAAAAAGGCACGTACTTTCTTTTTTTTTATTATTTTAATTATAAATAAGGCTAATTCTTTAAGCCCAACCAATTCAATTACCTGTCAAATCTGGACAGGACGGCCTTTCAGCCCTTTTTTATTGTCATTATAGTATTACGGGGAACCCCGTAGCAGCCACATCCGTGCTCAAGCCTCCAACGAGGGAACATGCGGGAGCTGCACCCACCAGCAGGTGCGATACCTGCTACAGCAGGTGGGCGATACCGGCCAGGGGTCAGCCGGTAGCATCAGAACTGAGCGTGTTCGATGGGCCAGTCACTGTGCCTCCCCTCCGGTCCCCCCAAGTGGCACGTACTTTCTGAAAGATGCTGATACTTACCCAAAAATGAAAGAAACAAAAAACGATGCTGCTGGTGGAAAAAAGATGCTGATACTTCCCCAAAAATGAAAGAAACAAAGAACGATGCTGCTGGTGGAAAAGTTTGGTGACGGAGAAGGATACATGGTATGCGGTTGTTGTCGGTGCACAGGGCATGATGTAATGATGTATATGTATAATATATGTATATCCACACATATATTACGGTGTAATCAGCTAGGGGATTCTGCAGACTGTAGAGGGTTCGGCCTCCTGATGAGTTGGTGCAACTCCAAGGAAACAGTTCGTCACAGCCCCTGGTTTGTTGTACTCTTCTCCCTCTCGGCCTACGGTTCACTAGGCAGTTCTGTTTGACCCATATATATATATATATATACATATATATACATATATAGGTACATGTGGTAGTGGAGGATTGGTTGGACACGTAGGGTGAATTATGTCTGCATGAAATATTAAATGCCTGGCATTGCCTGCATAAGTAAATGTCATTTTGCAAAAAAGAGCTGCCTTGTGGGCGTCGCTACACTACTGTACACTGTACAATTTGTAGAGTYYKGTCATCCGTCCAGTAACTATCCATCTCTACCCAAGAATTCAATTGCCAAGCAGAGGACGGCTTTCAAATTGCAGGTGCTACCAGGCAGTCCGGCACAGCCTGAAGAGGCAGTCCTTAATCAGAAGAACTGCSAGTTAATCCCTGACTTTTCAGGGCAATCAATGCTGCTGCAAACATCTGTAAATCACTCCGTCATGGTTTTTGTACCGGGAGGCTCGGACCCACTTTCCAGCAGGTGATGCTCATATCACCAATAGACCGGAGCAATAGGCCTGGCTACTGCAAGGAATCCTCATATTACACATTCAATTTGCAGTATCTCTGCCTTGTTTTCAAAAAAGAAGAAGAGGRAAAAAAAGAAATAACTGCGCCTGAGCAAAACAAAAAAAAGGGGAACAGTTTTCCGGGGTGGGGGAGGGGTCAACGGAGGGCCCGCTGCTACATCTACWMCAGATGCAGCAGATAAAGCAGATRCTGCARATTSAGCAGGTGCTGCAGCTGCAGCTTCTGATGCACCAGCTGCTGCATCTCCATCATGTACTGCAGCGGATGCAGTAGGTGTTGCAGYTGCAGCTGCTGCAGCAACTTCTGATGTAWCACAGCGACCAGACGTGGTGGAAGGGAGCGTCCAGGGAACACAGTGACAAGAYGTTGTGGACGCGCACGRCGGTGCAGTGGCGAGATCTTCGAGAGCGGTGGGGGGTRCAGCGCCCGGGGAGAGCTGTGGGGATGGCGAGGATGACGGGCCTTTGGTGAACAGGCAGCGGCRCGGGTATGCACTAGACGGGATTGAAAMTGCGGCCAAGCTGTGGGTGGACGACATGAGGTTCTGGAASGAGACCGAGGGCAATGGACTCTTCAAGCTAATCCAGGAAGCGCGACTGTATTTGCTGGCCATCACCAGGGGAGTYCCCCCTCCCGACATCTGCCGGAGTATAGTYCTYCCGCACTCCAGCATCCTGCAGCACAAAATCAGAGACGAGTTGCAGCTGAAGGCGGTGAAAGACAGGGTGATCAAAGTGCAGAGCATCGCCTTACGCGTCATCCATGGTGGATCTTCAAGGCCGCGAGTCGCTCATGGGGCTGCCACTCCGCGTACCAGTACATGCTCAACCACGCGGCGACGGACATTGGCCGCGTCATGTGGTTTGGAGAGGACTGACGCACGTGTTTCAGCCCCACTGTCTCCCACCTCACACTGGAGTTGGACATGATGCTGCCCATTTGGTTCATCAGTGCGCACATCGACTCATCAAGGACAGGCACGAGGACGACGAGCWGGCATGCTACCAAAAGGCGACCGTACAGCGGCTGGTGGGAGCCTTCACGAGCACCATCACTCTGGCGGAGCCGATCGAYAGTGGGCGTGTCTTATACGACAGGCTGAGGAACGTCACCGAGGCTATGAGGGTTCTACTTGCCGCGACGATGTGGCTCATGAGGATGAGCGGGGATGATTTGTGTTTCCCTTTCGATGCCTCCTTGTTCGTTCAGCTCACCGCCGAGGCGACACTGGCAGTGTCCATACGTTATTCGATGGTCGTTGCTGTATCCTTCAGGCAGCCAGCGTCGTCACGGAGAGGATGGGCAAACCCGCCATGATGTTGGCGGACCCACCTCTATACATCCCGAACTGGGCATCGTCCGGGATCACTTTCGGACATGACGCCACTTTTCCATCGCAGATGGACAGGAAAAGGTTATACTGGATGGGGACTGGCACCCCAGAGGAGGAAGAAGATAAACCAGCCGGCGGGTATGATGATGGAGGGGGGTAGAGAACTGAGGTTCACGTGGCGAGACTATGGCAAACGACGCTTCGTCAAGGACGTCAGGGGTGGCCGCGGAATGTCATGTCTCGCAGTGGAGGGTGGATGAGCGGCCGTTGGCTGCTCGGTCTGTGCTTGTGTGTGCGGTCAAACACGTTTGCAGTGTCAACGTTCTCTCTGAAGTTGGGGGGATGTGCTAACGTGCTTTTGCCCTCATGCGGTTGCACGTCTTGCGGAGGGAGCGACTTCTGGGGAGCATCGTCATGTGTGATGGCAAATGTCAACAGATTTCAGCATTCCTGGGGTCCGTGCTAGGGTGCAAGCTTTCAAATCCTGCACCATGTTTTGTTTTTAAAGTTTTTTAGCCATGCACGAACTCTTGGCGATTTCTACCACGGGTCTTTGGTCTGTTTGCTAGCGCATGTGTGGGGTCTTTGAGCGAGCGACGAGCGTCATGCGTGCAATTTGTCATCTAATGAATGCCTTTCGAATCTTCGATCGTCTCGCCTTGCCATGCGTGCCATTGAAGACGATCTTTATGATGCTTGTTTTCCATGGGTGTTTGTTGTGCATCCAATTGTTTCAAAGACTCGTYTTGTTCGTGTGCTATGTGTTCCTTAGATTCACCGTTGTTCTTCTCGTACTTGTCCAACTATGTTTGTTGTGTGACARAAAAAACTGACGTYGTTGTTCGTCTTTCAACAACATAGAGGTCACATGCATTGACCACTGACCTCTATACGTAGGAGATGCCCATCATTCCATCGGACACGCACTCGCTATAACTACCATTTCGTCAAAATGGAGATCTTTTATTTTTTGAGCGAAATTGACACCGAGTTTTTTGGCTATAAACTCGTTCAAATTTGCTGCTCCTGAGGGTCCGGCGTTTTTAAAACGCTGGACCCCATGGATGTATGTGGACTTAGCTTGAGATCAGATACATCCAGAGGGAACCGTCTGGATGTATCTAGTCTCAAGCTTGGTCCACATACATCTAGGGGGTTCTGCATTTTAAAAACGCCGGACACTCAAAAGCAACAAATTTAGACGAGTTTTCAACAAAAAAAAATTAGTTTCAATTTCGTTCAAAAAATAAAAAATGTCCATTTTGACGAAATGGCTGTTCTAAAAGACGCGAAGTCACTAGAATTGGCAACACTTAATCGCATGGGAACTTTTTAARAAGACAGCCACACAAACACAAACAACAAGGCGCACATAATAGACACATTCATGCTTGGGAATCGTGTTGAACCCTAACACAAAGTTATAACGTGTYAAACGAAAACAACATATTTGTAAAATGACAACGGRAAATAAGGAGGAAAAAAATAAAAATTTCACACGATCAAATAACAAGTCGTACGACGTGTTGAAAAAGCACGAGGTACACCACGCCACATCGTCAGAAGCGCCAACAAACGGTTGTGTGAAACAAAAGTTCATGAATCGGATCTCATAAAAAAACACARTTTCTAACRGAGGGGCCGAATGCCATGTGTGATAAGGAGTACYGAAACAAAACGATACGATCGACAAACTGACCAACTGACGACGCATTGTTACGGCGATTGCGAACYAAAAACCGCCAGCCCATGACAYKTGTGTRCGTCATAACATCCTACGACGGGAACAAAGGACAACATTTTCGTGACCTCCAGCGACACACTACCCAAATGATGAAAAAGAACTCTGACGGACACGTCTATTGACGAACATCCACTACCCCAATCAGAGAAGATGAACAGACGACGGTCTCAAAACAGACATGGTGAACGACCTTCGTCTCCGGGGCCGCCGTCACAATCACGCCACGCTCGATCGTCGTGATTGGCCACTCATCCTCACCACCAATGTGTCCCTTAGTTTTGGTGCATCTTCCATCAAGCTCTCCATGCACACCAGCCTTCAGGGATGTTGGATCCCGAGATCCACACGACGGCATACTCCGTTCGCATCCACCTTCTACAACAGATTGTTGTAAAACGGGATGCCCGTGTCAATAAGTACGCTGTGGAGAATGCAGAAAGGGACAAACTGTTGCGTCAACGTCTCCATGTTCGCCTTGTGTGACCACAAGAATAGCTTCCAYATCCCTTTTAGTCTATCGAAACCCCACTCARCTACCCCCCTCGYGGTCTTYTGCTWGTTGTCGAACCGCATCTCCGACGAGTGATAAGTAGTGCAGCCATAGGGAACAACTATCYATTCGGACGGTGGGTAATCATTGTCACCCAACAGGTAGCCATTCGTCAGGACGGCAAAGGGGAGCATCACAGGTAGTCCCGTGAAAAGTTCCCCAGCCTCGGTACGCGCCCATAGACTCGACAGGTGAAYGATTCTGACGTYKTGGCAGCTTCATGGATAGTCGACRAAGACTTCTAGCACACACAAGTTCAGATTGACGACAACCTGTGTGATGATTGAGAAACATCGTAACGGTTTCTGATCGTAGACTTGCTAGGGGCACTYGCCGGCTTGTTGATGTAGATATGAGGTGCAGTCAATGCACCCATGGCACTAGGGGAACCCCTTCTMAGTGAAAGCACCGAGGWAAACCTACTTGCGCACCACCGTAGGGCCGTAGGCCATGATATTTTTTCACGGTAGACCGTCAGCAACGTCGYAGTCAAGTGCCGCACTGCCACCAAACCTTAAGCTYTGTCGATGCTGAAGTTACACGTGCTGCTCTCGTAMWYCTCCCCCGATGCCMACGGATACAACGTGTATGCAATGACCTGATCAGGCTGCAATGGTTCCCTGTAAAACGTCACACRCCGCTGCRGGAAGGGCGACAAAGCTTTCACAATCTCCTAGAAGACACGTGGCGACATGAACATCTTGTCCCGCAAGTAATCCTCCGTCGCGTCGTCGCATTGCCGCAGATCCTCCCACGTCCCCCCCGTCCTTCTTTTCATCAACCACCTGGGCRTCACTCTGAGAAGAACTCCGCAACCCAAGGCGCWRCACACCTGAAGGACTACATCGCAGATGGCAGCGGTGTCCAACCCTTCCATCGCCATGCACTGCATCGCCTTCCTCCTCCGAGCGAGGATCTGCGCTTTCATTCTCCCCACCGTCCTCTCCACCTGACAACTTAAGAGGACAGCGGTAACGACCACTGCCACTGCCATCCTCTCCGTAATCGTCAGCTTCCCACGCTCGTYACTACCGCCCTCCTCYATCGTCACCAAACGTGCCGAAGACATCACCGTCAATGATGGTGACAGACTCCACCGAAGTTTCACGTAAGGAAGTCCACTGAAGCAACCTACATGACGCACTCCGCTAACCTCCGCACACATGGGGCCCGAGGACTACGGTGATGACGTCTTCACACGGGATGTCTTCCTTGCCTGGTGTCATGCAGTGCCCATGCCGACCCCGCCAACGCATTTCCGACGTCCTCCACCAGCCGCCAAAGCCACACGACGAACCGCCCTCACCCCAACAGTGTCATTCAAATTTTGAGTTTTAATCGGGACGTCCGTACATATTTTATCATTATTTTTTATGGGTTACCTTGAAGATTCGAATTTTCGTGCCAATCGCAGCTGGACCACGCCCGTCCACACAGACAACACCCCATGGACTACCGACCCCACCCCACCCCGAGGTCGGCAACAATATTATGCGACGAGTCGCGGCCCCTCCGTACGAATCCTCCTTAAAAGACCGTCCCGAGGATGAGTGGAACGAGGGCAGAAATTCTCTCGGGCGACCCAAAGGAAAACTTGTCAGGGCCGGAGGACGGCCCGAGGAGTGTCTAACGAGGCCCCCAGTCAGACGTTTGGCCTGGTTGTCCGATCGGACAACCCGGACAACCCGGACAACCCGGATGGCCCAGACGTACGAGCAGGTCACCTTGAAACAAACACAAAAGTACCTGTATTTGTTTTTGGCCGTTTTTGAACTCTGTTTGCCTAATCATGATGGCCCGGCACTGTAGTTATGACATCCATGCTTATTACAAACTGCCGAGGCAGTTGTATTGCCTTTTAGAACTCTGCAGGTGAGGGACCTGCGGCTGTGTATTTTTTTGCCCATTTCAAACATGGGTTGTGACTTGAACATACTTTCTCCCCCCCCCCACAAGAAAAGACGAATTATGAGGACTCCGCACGGTTGTAGATTCCCCAGTGTGCAACCGCCTTTCCTTGTAGAGTTATCCTTGTAGGTCTAGATTAGTGCCCGGATTTGGGGAGTGGAGCTGYAGTCTAGGSAGACAAACAGGTCTCTCAGGTGTYATTTTGTGCTCTTGATAGTTGGAGAGTGTAGTCCGAGTCTAGCTTTGTACAGTAAGGGCCCCTYGCCACTATTCACCAAATGAGAATGAGTCTGCCACTAGCACATGGGAAGATGCATCACCATATTTTTTGTCTTTTGTGCATTTGGTGAGCCRTGGAGATACGTCCTAAGGGGATCAATGACTCGATTCYCGGTGTTTTGGAGGGTCTGATAGCTATGCACCCACTTGTGAACAATTTGTACACTGTAGAGTAGTCTAGTGAAGTGCACTGCTCTCCACTATACAATTTCTTGAAGTTTGGCAATGTGTAGTTTTTTGTTGCTCCCCTGAATCTACAAACGAAGTYGTGAAATGCTTTCGAATACCTCTCAGGCMTCCCGTAGGAAAAACACTCTCCGCTGTTGTATAGTTCCCACCCTGTGAAATCCACTATCGTTAGGGTGGTCTGTTGACCTCATGATCTGGGACCGAATTTGTAAAGTTTGCCTCTATTCTTTGTAAATGAAATGCCAATGCCACCATGTGTTCTACAGCTGGCACCGTGTCTTCTTCTGCCATCAGAAATTAGAAAGCCCCTGGATAGCCTGAGTTGTAGAGTTAGTGGAGACAGTTTTCCACCATTTTTTACAATCTGACAGTTATTCAAATACTATACAAGTTTTGGTAGAGTGGAGAGCAGTGGGGCAAGACCTTATTTGAACAGGGGCTCGGGGTCCACTTGCTCCGTTTTTAACCTTCCTACAGTTCTTTGTGACACACATTTTGCCTTTAGAAAGTGCCTTTGGCACTGGTTGTCATTTTCGGAAAAATGAGAAACAGTTTTGATTGTGAAAAGAAAAACAAAGGCAGCGGAAAGTAACAATTGCATCCGCGTCACCGATAAATAGGACCCAGCACATGCTTCTTGTGGTGCATGATTCAGAACGTGATGAACCTTCAACAAGATGTCAGCTTTTCTGTTTTTTTTTTCTGGGCAGTTTGGAGAAGCCGAAACACTGTAGGGGACTTGCAATTTTGAACCCTCCTGTTCAAAATTGCAATGCTCCCACATTGATTCCCAAATTTTAGAAATCATCCTGAAATAGAAAGTGCCTAAGGTACACAGGCAAATTAGGCATCCCGAACAGGCTCGTACATTGTGCCAGACCCGCCGGGATGGCGGTCCATTAGGATGGAGACGAAGAAGGAGGTAGAGATGGAGCTGGAGGGGACAGCGCAGCTCCGACGCAGACTCCACACGCA